CTGCTCCCGCCAGGATGTCCGCAACCGCGTTGCCGACGACCAGCCACGGGGGAACCTGCAACTCGAAAGCCTCGGCCATCTCCAGATGAGAGTACACGTGCTCCACAACGAAATCCGATCTGGGCCTGCTCCTGCTGCGAAAGGTCTGCGCGAGGAGGCCCCACAAGTCACGGTCGTCGCCGTGCGGCTGCAAATCAAAGCGCCTCCACCAGCCCTCGCAGACGGCAAGATTGTCAGAGATGTACACCGTGGGGCCGAGGGAGCCTTGGGCGGCGAGCACAAGTGCCCGCAACTCACCACGGTGGACGGTCTGCGTGCTGCCGCTGAGGCCGCCCCACGCTGCCTGCACGAGACCTCCTTCGACCAGGTGGACACGCGCCACTGCCAGGCCCACACGACGAAGATGCGGGTCTTGCCCCTCTGGTCCTCCGCTGGCATCGCCGAAGAGGACAAGTGGGGCTTCCTCGGTGCCCTGCCCCAGTGCCCCTGGGGCCAGCGCTGCGGCCTGCTGGCCATCCAATAGCGTCCAGAGGTCGTGGTCGCGGGGGGCGGCGACCTCAGTCCAGCAGCGAGGGATGATGCCGCGCAGCCAGAAAGCCGCGTGCGCCTCCTGGTCCGCGGCCGCGCGGGGCAGGAGCTCGCTGCTGTCGTCGTAGGCCTTGCTGCCGACGTTGCAGGGGCAACTCCAGAACCGATGGAAAGGGGTCTCCTCCTCGCCACCACACCGTGGGCAGTTGGCGCACTCAATGTCGCCGAAGGTCTCCTTCTTGCGTGACCTCGGCCAGGCACCACCCACCGCAATGGTGGCGAGTAGCTCCTCGAGCGCAGGACCCCCAGGGAGCTGTCGGAGCCGCTGGAGGAGCGCCTGGAGAGAACGAAGATCAGCGCCAGCCTCCAGGCCTGCACCGCACCAGTGCGTGGCAGCGCGCTGCCAGAGGTCCTCCTGGATGGAGTCGTCGAGCGCGTCGAGGACAGCCCTGCAGGAGCCGTCTGTGATGCTGGCCACGTCAGGGACGGCCCACCGCTCACGGGAGCCGTCCTGCAGACCGCGCTCCCAGCCCATAGGGCCGACGGGCACCCAGCCGTGCTGCAGGAGGAGGGCCTGGAGGGCAGAGATGGGACCACGCACCAACCTCGACCTGCGCTCAGGCTCTGCCTCTCGAAGTCGACTGTGGATCGGGATCCAGGCCCGCGCCACTCTCCTTCTCAACTCCTGGCTGCTCCTCCAAACCTCGAGCCAGCACTTGGCCAGGGCGCGAGGCAGGCGCCTGGCGGGGTCGAGGGGGCCTGCGCGAAGTGCCAGCTGCGTGGTGAGGCAACGTCCACGCCTAGCAGCTCCTGAGACTGACGCAAGCCTGCGACGAAGCTCTGCAAGGCTGCGAGGCGGAGGAGGAGGAGGATGAGGAGGAGGAGGAGGAGGAGGAGGAGGAGGCGGCGGCGGAGGAGGAGGAGGCGGAGGAGGAGGAGGAGGCGGAGGAGGAGGAAGACGAAGACGAATAATAATAATAAGACTACGACTACGACTACGACTACTACTACTACTACTACTACTACTACTACTACTACTACTACTACTACGACTACTACTACTACTACTACTACTACTACTACTACCTACTACCACTACCACTACCACTACCACTACCACTACCACTACCATACCACCACTACCACTACCACTACCACTACTATACTATACTACTACTACTACTACTACTACTACTACTACTACTACTACTACTACTACTACTACTACTACTACTACTACTACTACTACTACCTACTACTACTACCTACTACTACTACTACTACTACTGCTGCTGCTGCTGCTGCTGCTGCTGCTGCTACTACTACTACTACTACTACTACTCCTGCTGCTACTACTACTACTACTACCACTACTACCACTACCACTACCACTACCACTACCACTACTACTACTACTACTACTACTACTACTGCTGCTACTACTACTACTACTACTACTACCACTACTAATACTAATGTTACTACTATTATTATTATTAATAATAACCATAAGCATCATCATACTACCAAGAATGCTATTACTAAGGATAGTAGGACGAATGCCTATAATAATAATGATAAACATAAGAATAAGAATAGGAATACGAATACTGATAATATTCATATTTCTAAGAAGAAGACGAATACTAATAATAATAATAATAATAAGCAGCATACTAATCATGAGACGAATAATATTAAGAATGCTAAGAATCAAAAGAAGACTCACACGAATAGTAGTAATAATAATAAGAAGAATAAGATAATAAGAACATGAGGAGGAGGCGGAGGAGGAGGAGGAGGAGGAGGAGGAGGAGGAGGAGGGGGAGGGGGAGGAGGAGGAGGGAGGAGGAGGAGGAGGAGGTGGAGGAGGAGGAGGAGGAGGATTTGTGTTCCATTCCTGGACCCTCCTGCTGTCGTTCGTCCCTCCCCTCTCCTTTCTTCCCCGCTTCGCCGGCCTCACCTCTCCCCCATCGGGTAATGTTCCCTGCCTGGGGGGGTCTCTGCTGCTTCTTTGCGTGCCGTCCTTGCTTTTTGTGGTATTTTCTTTCTGTCTACCTCTCTGCACACATTTGCATGGCATCCGCAATTTCACTTTACCGTTTTAGGTCCATCATACACATTGCATAGCCACCATAATTGGCCAGCCAGTACCGTATGGGCAAGCCGTTCCAGTCACAACTTCTGTTATGCATTCCACTTCGTTGTGCCTCTGTGCAATACTTACCGAAGACTGACCTGCCCTTCTAGCGTCAGCCCATCATAATGCACAGTAGCGCGTAGTTTGCCTGCTGTTATTTCCGAACTACTAGCCTGATACCTTAGATGGGGGAAGCATTCGGGTTGGGAGGCGGGGTACCTTGGGAAAACAGTGCTCAACATGTTCTTGGCCCCCTAGACTAGGGTGAGGCCACATACTTCCCGCAAGCTCAGCACGCAGTCTATTACGGCCCGTTGCCTTTCTAACTACTTAGCGAGCTCTCCCACAGTTTACTCTGGAGCCACATCATAACTGTCTCCTACTGTTGCTCCTCATCGCCTACCCTTTACATTGCAGCCCCAGCTTAGACCAGACGCCTGGCATGACCCATCACGTTTTCTGATCGCGGATAGGTGGGATGTGCTGTGGGTGGGAAAGGGCAGTTTGTGGAGCCGCATTGTACCTCTCATCCTCGAAGCAGTTCCCTTTCCTCCACTGCGTTGCTGATCATCGCCATTTTGCCACGTCGGGGTGGGGGTTCACTTCCACTGTGGTATCCCAGCATCAGCTTATCCGGCACTTCACTCCTACCCTGCTTCCTTTCTGCATGCCAAGATACCTCACACCAGAGCCCAGCCTTCAGGAGCCAGCCGAAGCATCACCCATCTCTACAGTCGCCTGCTCAGTCATTGTTCTTTTTGTCTGTGACTCGCCTAGCCTCGGCGACGTTCGCTTCTCCTTGAGTGACTGGGCGGTGGTTGTGTGGAGGTGGATATGCGGGCGGGGACGGGTGTGGGAGCCTCACTCAAATAGAACAAGACATTGCTGTGTGAGTTAAGGCTGGCACAGATTGTGCTGGCTGGCCTAGAATAGGACGCGATCTACCTGGCGATTGAAACGGAAGTCTGAGGAGAGGGCGTGCGAAATTGCCCTTTCTTAGCCTGTTCTCACTGCCAGACTTTTTCTGCTGCGCCAGCGCGGCGTAATTTGTTTTCTCTCTGCCTAAGTCGGCGATCTTCTGCATCATCACATACCGCAGCAGGCCACGCCTTATGTTTGCCTAACGTCAAAGGAGGAGGAGGAGCAGGAGGAGGAGGAGCAGGAGGAGGAGGAGGAGGAGGAGGAGGAGGAGGAGGAGGAGGAAGAGGAGTGAGGAACGTGGGGCGGTGTTCGTTCAAAGCGAGAACCCAACACCACGGGATGGTTGGGAGCAACATATCGTCGGAGCTCTGGGTCCCCAGAAATTCCGATCCTTCTCCCAGGGCCGGTTTTTCATCTCGACTCGTTTCTTGAAGGTCCCGGGACCCAGCGAGGCCCTTTGGGGCCGAAAGTTGCCGAAAAGCGCTGGTCGTAATTTTTCCCCGACGCAGGGATTTTAGTATTTCTGCTCCCCCCCATGGGCACGCTGCGGCCCCTCGGCGCGGTGGATGGGGGCCGGCCAAGGAGGGGGGGGGATGACTTGGGGGGGGCGGATTTGATGGCCGGGGCCCTGATCTGTCTGCCACTCTGGGAGAGCTTCCCTCAGCTGGCGAGGATGACCCTTTCTGCTTCTTGCTCTTCCCGCCTGCTCAGTTGAGCTAGGAGGTATGATGAGGACGTAGGAGGAGGAGGAGGAGGAGGAGGAGGAGGAGGAGGAGGAGGAGGAGGAGGAGGAGGAGGAGGAGGAGGAGGAGAGAGAGGAGGAGGAGGAGGAGGAGAATGAGGAGAAGGAGGAGGGAGATGAGGGAGGAGATAAGAGGCGGTAGAAGGGGATTCGTATTTCATGGTCCCGTCCTCTTGATTCAGAACGTCCCCTGGTCCCTCTCCCCCAGGGGCCGCGGACGTGCCCCCTGGCCATGATTCGCGCTCCCCCCCCTTTGACGCTGCCCTGTTGGGCGCCCCCGAGCTCGATTTTCTCCGCGCCGACGGAGCTGATGCATCGCCGCCGTCGCTCGCCGATGCATCGCCGATGCATCGCCGACGCATCGGCGATGCGGCCCGATCCTTCGACCCCATCTACTCGGTACTCGGACCCCAGAGGAGGAGGAGGAGGAGGAGGAGGAGGAGGAGGAGGAGGAGGAGGAGGAGGAGAGGAGGAGGAGGAGGAGGAGGAGGAGGAGGAGGAGGCGGGGCGGAGGAGGAGGAGGAGGAGGAGGAGGAGGAGGGAGGAGGAGGGAGGAGAGAGGGAGGAGGAGGAGGGAGGAGAGAGGAGGAGGAGGAGGAGGAGGGAGGAGGAGGAGGAGGAGGAGGAGGAGGAGGAGGAGGAGGAGAGCTCTTCGCTTCCCCCTCTGAGGGTGCCCGGGTCTCCGGGTGCGCTGCGGCCCCTGGACGCGGCGGACGGGGGCCGGCCCCTGCGCCTCGACGCCGTGCTGCGCACCACGGCGCCGCCCGGCGCCGCCGCCGCCGAGGAGGCGCTCGCGGCGGTGCGCCAGGAGCTGGCCGGCCTGGCGCCCGAGGTTCTACCTCGGCGGCTACAAAGCGTGCGGTTACTCGGGGGACAAAAAGATACGGATGCGTGTTGTCCCCCTTCGTTTTCGGCCTTTCCTGGTCCTCCTAGGGAATCCTCGTTGTCACCGCTGGATTCGCCTCGAAATTCTGGTCAGAACGCACCCCAAGAGAGGTCCGGGGACAACACGTATCCGTATCTTTCCGCCCCCCAAGTTACGCCGATGTGTGGTTTGCGATCGGCGCCGTGGGGGCCTGGGGGGCCCGACACTGTCCTCGTCGGGCCTCTTCGGGGCGCGACGGAGAGCTCCATCGAGGCCCCCGCTTGTCCCCAAGGGTGCCCCCCCAGGGTGCCCGTTGCAAACCACACCCTCTGCAAACCACACCCTTTGGAGCCGCCGACTATCGGAGGGCCAGTCCCAGGTGCATCGGCGGTTCAAAGATTGGATCCTGAGGGATGGGGCTCTAAGGATAAGAAGGAATCCAAGGGTGGATTTACGCTGTTCGAGACACCTCGTCCCCAGGACCCCATGCCTCAGGACTCACCCCATCTTTGAACCACCGAGTGCAACGGTATTGTTTTTGTATGGTTTGGCCTCTGGCGCGGGACTGTCGTCACCCCCGTGACGATCGTATGTGGGGGGGGGGGGGGCTGGACCCCCCCACATGCTGGTGCTCGCGCGCATATTGCGGCGATCGCAGCGAGTCCATGCCCCGACGTGCCCCACGCCGCTCAAGCGGTACAGTTACCCAGGGCCAGCCCGGAGCCCGAGGTCCGTCGGCGGAGGTCCAGTCTCGTGAGGGACCCTGGGATCCTGGGATCCGGGCGTCGCGATTTGACACACTTGGCTTCTTCGCCTCGGAGAGCGTTCCTGCGAATTCCTGGGCGTCGGCGGGGGAGGGGGAGGGGGAGGGTGGCGGGGGGCCAGTCGCGCCACGTCTCGCGCCAGCGCCGCCTGGGAACGTCCAGGAACAGCCAAGGCCAACTCGGAGGTCAGCACGAATCGTGACGTCACCTTGGGGGGGGGGGGAGGGGGGGGCGGCGGGGGCGTCGCGAGACAAGAAGCAGCGCCCGCGTCCCCAGGGCCAGCACAGGTGGATCCGACTCGAGAAGTGCAGCCCAAAGATGGGGTCGGGGTCTCTGGTCGTTTTTTTTTTTTTCTTGTTCTTCCTTCTCCCCCCCAGCAACGTCGGATCTCCGGGAGAGGGTATGAGCGACACGTGGCCGTTGGGAGCTTTGCAGCGTGTTGCTCCTCCGTTCTTGCCCGACGGCCCGGTGCTCCTTCAGCAGCAGCAGGCTGGTGGGTTCCTGGCGGCGGCGTGTCATTGATATCGCAGTGCCCCCCCCCCCACATCGCAGGCGATGCATTGACCCCGATCCCTGAGTTCCGCCCGCAAGCAGATTCTGCCTAGGGACTGGGGGAAACTCTGGGAGATACACCCACGCGGGGCTTCTTGGACGCACCCCTATCGAGGCTGGGCGCCCCCACTTCGTACACCACCGAGTTTGGCATGACATGTGTTCGTCCATGCGAACGCCCCACAGAGTTTGGAATCGGGGTCGGCATCCCTCCCGCTACCACAGTAGAGGCAGCCGCAGCCTCCCTGGCATTTTTCGTTGTTTGTTTGGGCCTCACCGAGGCTTCTTCGTCGCCGCGGCCCTCCCTGACGTTTTGGCAATTTTGGGGCCTCCCGGAGGCTTCTCGTCGCCACGGCTGGTTCCGCTTCGTACGAACGGGTCAGGATGCACCGCAGGAGGACACTGGGGGGGCGACTTGTTGAGGCATCTGGGCTCAGGCTTCGGGTTGCTGTTGAGACCGCCGTAGGCTACTCTGGAAGCCTGTTGAGGCCAGTGAGGCTGTCCGAGCGCAACCAGAAGCCTTTGTCATCTGAGCGACGCAGAAAATCGCAGGCGATTTCTCTCCCCCAATCCCCGACTTCCGCCAGAAAAGTTTGGTCGCTCAGAAAAGGGGAGGAATCTTGGGATACATCCCGAGGGGGCTATTCGGACGCACCCCTGTCGAGGATGGACGCCCCCCCATCGTATATCCCAGGGTTAGGCCCCAAATTTCTGGTCCATTCGGAAACCCCACGAAGCCTGGGATAGGGGTCGACATATCCCCTGTTAGAGAACGAGGCCGAGTGTGCCGAGACATTCGCGCGGAAGCGGCCCGCCTACGATCGCGCGGGGGCGCCCTCGTTTCCAGGGCGGCGTGCCACGCTGGCGGCCCGCGTGAGCCACAGCGTGAGGCCGCTCTGTCATCTTGCGTGAGCCCCTCTCTCATTTTCGTCGCTCGCCGGCCGTCGAGCGCGCTGCACTGCGCGCAGAGTGCCTGCTCGCAAACGTCCAGATAACAGGCGCTGCTCGATGCGGTGGAGCGTGTTGCCTCGATGCCGTGGATCCAGGCTATCTTGCGAGTAGCCACTTTGCGAGCAGTGGAACGCGCTCGTCTAACCTAGGCTGGGTGGGAGGTCCGCCGCTGTCTCCGCTGGCCCTCCTCCGAGAGAGGTCGGCGTCGCGCTCGCCCTGGATGCGGGCCCGGGGCGCGCCGCGCTGTCTTGGCTGGACGCCGTGGTGGAGACCACCACCGGCTCGCTCTTCCCGGCGGCTCCAAGACGTGGCCTTGAGAATGGTATAGGGAACGAAACATGGCAAAAACACAACAACTCGGAGGTCCGCGGGGATTTCTCGGATCCGCGCTGGGGCCCCCTGGCGGCGCCCTTGGCGCGCTCCGCGCGCCAGGGAGGGGGCTCGAGCGCCGGTTCAAGAAATCCGTGCCGGCCTGCGAGTTTTGATCTTCATGCCACTGGTCGTTGCCCTAGCGTACGGTCGGTGTGCGTGTCGTGTCGGCTGGCGGGCGACCCCGCCGCGGGTGTTCAGCGTTGGACGCCAGCGGCTCAGGAGGGGAAAAAACACAGACACAATGAATCGGCGCTTCCCAGAAAATGTGGGAAAGTATGGGAAGTGGGGGGAAGGCAAAAACCCAGAAAATACGGGAAAACAGGGGGGATATATTTTTATTTGTGTGTATTCATTTGTGTGTCCCAGTTCCCCTTCCGCGGCGGCCTTCGAGTCGGTCGGTGTTGAACGATCGGACGTCTGGGCAGCGGCCGATCGCTCGAGGCCGAAGGGTCCCCGCGGTGCCAGGAGCCGGCGCCGAGGCCGGCACGACGCGAACCTACACCGGGAGGCCTCGGGTGGCGCACGGACAGCCCCTTCAGGCAGTCCGGGGGGGCCTCGACGGGCCCCCTCGGATCGGAGCGGTCCCAGCCGATCTCAAGTCGGGCCTGTCCCTCTACAGGAGGAACTCTTCCCAAACAGGGGAAAAAAGAAAAAGAGAGTCCGGGGACACTGTTCGGGGTACTCTTCTGGGCATCCTTTACTGCGCATCCTTCGAGCACTGTTTATTCTCCGTCCAAGAAGTCCCCCCGCAGGGGGACATGCCCGACCGAAACCTGGGAAAACAAGAGTCCGGGGACTCTTTTTGGGGTATTTTTTGGGGCATCTTTTCTGAGTATCTTTCGAGCACTGTTTATTCTCCGTCAAAAAAAAAAGCCCTGCAGGGGGACATGCCCGACCCGAAACCTGGTCTCAGCAGAGGCCCCCTGAGTGGCGCCGCCTCCGGCGGCGGCCCCGAGGCGCTCCACGCCCCGGGGTCGTGGTGCTGCGACCGCCCCCGCTGGGATCTCACGCGACGGGGCCCGTGGCCCGTGGAGGCCCGCCTCATGTCGGGCGTGTCCCAGATGGTCTGGTACCGGAAATTTTCGGTAGCGATTTCGACGCACCCCGAATTTCGGTAGCGACCAGATCTTCGTTTGAGGGCGTTGAAATAGCGGATTTCAGAACGCTCTGATACCGGTATTGGGCGCTACATTTCGGTATTTCGGTAGCGACCGATCTCTGCGGAGCGCTACCGGAAATTTTCGGTAGCGGACCATCAGGGGTGCCTGCGGCCGGTCTACCAGCGGTGTATGGCCGATTCCAGCTCGATGGGATCACACGAAGGGATCACACGAAGGGATCTACGGCCGATCTACCAGCGGTGTTGAGACCGCCCCCGCTGGGATCACACGAAGGGGCCCGTTGAGGCCCGCCTCATGTCGGGCGTGTCCCTACGGCCGATCTACCAGCGGTGTACGGTAGGTCTGTGTCGTGCCGACCGTCGGCGACCCCGCCGCCGGCGTTCAACGTTGAACGCCGCTGGCGACCCAGAATCAGTCGATGTTGAACGATCGGACGTTTTGGAAACGGCCGATCGTTCAAGGTTGAACGATCCCCGCGGTATCAGGGACCAACGCCGGGGTCGACACGACACGAACCTACCGTCTGGCCGATTCCAGCTCGATGCTCCCCCCCCCCCCCTGGGCCAGTCCCCCCTGACGTTGCCCCGCGCAGAGGCCTCGGGGGGGGGCTGTGAAGGCAGGGGGCTTCTCAGAGGGGCCTGGAGCCTTTGAAGAGGGCTTTTTGGGAAGCCAGCAGCTAGGAGAATTCGGCAGGAGAAAAAACACACAGACACAATTTATCGTCGAGTCCCTGGAAAATATGGGAAAATATGGGAAGTGGGGGGGGGGAAGACGAAAGCCCAGAAAATATGCGAAACTATGGAGAATCCTGTTATTTGTGTGTATTTGTTTGTGTGTCCTGGGGCCCCTTCAGGATTACTCGAGGGGCCCGTTGAGGCCAGCCTTATGTCTCGGGCGTGTCCCTCTACAGGAGGACTGTTCAAAAGTGGTCAAAAGTAGTACGGGGACACGATTTTTCGACTGTTGTTTAACTTCTTTTGAATATTTGTTTGACTATTTTTATATGTCGTCCTGTAGGGGCACATGCCCGACCTCAGGCCAGCCGGGACCATCTGGGGGGATGTCTGGTGCGCAGCCCGAAGCTTCACCGAGCTGAGCCTTCACTGTCTGAGGCCGCTCGCTCTCAAGTCCTTCACCTCCTCCTCCTCTTCGTCCTCCTCCTTGTCCTGCTCCTCCTTCTCCTGTTCCTCCTCCTGCTCCTCCTCCGTGTCCTGCTCCTCCTCTTCCTCCTCCTCCTCCTCCTCCTCCTCCTCCTCCTCCTTCTGAGGCAAGGAGGCAATGACGGCAATGGAGTTCTCCTATCGCAGCCGCTTCCCCTGGGGAGGCCCGGTCGGGCCCCCCTCTGGGGGAGTGGACAAGAATATGGGACACTCTGGGTCCGAGGTCCTGCAGACAGAAGGGAGGGAGGAGGAGGGACGATCATCGTCACACGTCATCTCAAAACCTGATGAGGAACGGAAGAGAAGGGGGGAGCGGTGGCGGCAGCGCTCCGTCGCGCGGCGGCAGTGCAGAAGCGGGTGGGGCCCCATAGGGGCCAGGTCTTCCTGTGCCTGCGCCGGGCCCTCTCTCCGTCGGGTCAGCTGGCCACTTGGGGCCCTGCTCCCTGGAGAGTGCCCCGGGTGCCCCTCGTCTGAGGTGCCCTTGTGTGAGTCCTCCCGCATGGGGCTGCGCCTGAGGCTGGCAAGGCAGTGGGCGGGGGCACTGCGCAGGGAGGCAGGGAGGCAGACGGCTGAGGGGAGGGTCATTCTGGTAGAGTGGCGAAGTTAAATCGTTACAGAGCGTAGGCGCCGAGGCAGGCTGCGGGAAGCATGCAAGTGGAGATGTTGAGGCGGGCAGTGAAAACAGACGGAGTTAGGTGTGGGTGAAAAAATGCGGTGGGAAGGAGTGTGGAGGTCAAAAGGTGAAAGGTGAACGCGGAGACTATTCCGCTGGGCCCACAGTGGGGGTTCCGCTCGAGGCAGGGAAGGGCCCAAAGGCCTCTCCCTCTGCCCCTGGGAAGCCCCCCAAAGCGACGCTGAGGCCGACGGCGGGATCCCTCGCCTGCAAGCAGGCGTAGTGTTCCCAGCACGTCGGCCTCGTGGCCGCCGTGGGGGTTTCACCGAGCGTGATGGAGATTTGGGCCCTCCCCCATTTGCTGGCACGGTGCAAGCCGGCCACACTCGCCCTGGTAGATGGCAGAATGGCCTCACAGGAAGCCCCCCCCCTAAGCAGCCACCATCCCCATGACTGGTACCCTCCCCCGCCGAGGCAGGAGCAGGGTACCCAGATCATGGGAGTGGTAGCTGCTTGGGGGGTTTCCACCGTGCGTGGGGTGGATTCTGCCATGTGTGCCGGCGGCGTGGGTGTGTGGTTTGATGGCCGCTGATGATGCCCTGGTGGCCGCTGCCCTGATGGTCGCCGCTGTGGAGGCGGAGGTGGAGGTGGAGGTGCCCTGATGGCCGCTGCTATAGTGGCTAGGTGCGGCCGCGGCCGCCCTGGCCCTTGCCAGGACGGCCCGCGGTGAGTCCGAGCCCCTTCCATCCCCAATAGAAGCGAACCGTATCCCACCACAAGAGGGGGGGCGAAGAGAAGGCTAGCTGTGGGGGGAGATGGGGCTGCAAGCATAAAGGCCAGGAGGTAGGGGGAGGTGGGAGGTTGGCGAGGACCTTTGGCCCGTGTACAAACGAACAAGCAGTCGCCACTGATGTCCACGATATGCTGCTGCTGCCACTGATGTTCGCGCTGTAGAGAAATGCCATGTCACGCTTTAAGTCTGCCAAGAGAACGTCGACTCCCACATCACCAGCTGTGCTGCTTCCGTCTTTACTGTGAGTGGGCATGTAGCAGCTGGTGGTTCTGCCAGCATAAAGCAAACGTATTCTGTGGGGAGAAGCGCACTGATCGGCCATCGTTAGGCCGGTCCGATCGCGAGGATTGCCTTGTGTTGGGGGAGTCTCCTGATTTCCTGTTGGGTGGTCGTGCTGGTCAGGCTTGTCAGCTTTGACGGTGTCTGCGTAGGTCGGCCGTGGTTTCCACGGGTCGGGCCTGTAGAATGGGAGGGCCTCCTGGTCCGTCTGCTGCTGGTCGCCCTGGTGGATAATGCTGTAGTGTCTGTATGAGGGCGATGTCGTGGACGTCCCTGGTTCCACGGGTCGGGTCCGTAGTAGAGTAGGAGAGCGTTCTTGTCCGTCTCTTGCTGGTTGCCCTAGTGGATGATACTGCGGTGTCCGTCTGAGGGTAGTGTCGTTGCCGGCTTGCTTTCACCAGTTTTGGGAGCATCTTTTTCGGTGTTTTGGTCCGTGATCATGTTGCGGATCGTTGCAGCCGTGCTGCTGTCGCCGATGGCGTGCTGCTGCATCTAGCGTGGTGCTCGGTGGTCAGCAGTACTGCTCGCTGCCGTTTTGCCCGTCGGGTCCGTGGGCGCTTTGGCCTGCAGCAAGCTGGCCTTGTTAGTCTGCTCATCTGCACTCAGTTCTGAGGTCGATAACTTATGGTCCAGGTGTCTGAGTTGTTGTAGCGAGGTCCCGATGTCAGGGTCGGTAGGCGGCAGTAGGTCGTATACAGTCGGTGGGGCTGGTGTCGGTTTCTGGTTCTGGTGGTCCTGTGCCTCTTTCTCTGGCAAGGGGGTTTGGTTGGTGATGAGCTCGGCCATCTTGACCATTGCCTCGATTGCAATATTCTTCTGTTGGTCGGTGATGAGGAATGGTGTCGGCGTACACGTGGGGCTGTGTCGTATTGATACCTTGATGTCCGTGAGGAGAGAGACCGCTGTAGCACTGCTTGGTGGTCCTCCTTCAAGATCCTGAGCATGGTTCCGAGATCCGCCCGTCTGTGGCTTCGCCTGTCCTTGTCTGCCTCCGTGGTGCTGGTGATGGTGTAGGCGATAGTTTTGGTGGTACGTTCCTTTGTAGTTGGTCTGCTTCTTTATCTGCAGCTTCCGTGTCGCTGTGCCGATCATCTCTTGCATTGGTGATGTCGCGTTGGAGGGTCGTGAGATCCTCCATTTTGTGTTCGATCTCGTTCATGTAGATCGTTCTCTGATGCTGGTGAATCTTGGAGTGCTCGTAGTAGTGCTCCATGGTCCTC